CATCTATATGCTAACTGTATTCGCCTACGCCATCTCTGACCTTGTTTTCACATGACTAATATTTGAGACATAAACATTGACGTCAATTACTGTCTACCAATTTGGCTAGCAACCATCTCTCACCACAACCCACCACTGTTCACGGTCGTTGCGAAGACTTCTCGTTAGTTTGCGTGTGAGTAGCTTTCGCTCCTCATCATAATCGGAGGTCGCCGGAATCAGTCTTCTTGCGTCAATCAGTTCGGATGAGACGATAGAGATCCAATGGCTCTTAATAACTTTTAGTTTTAGGTTATTAACAGCTTTTACAGCTGTGTCCTACAGCTAACTGTATGTTGTGCCAGGCTACCTCAGAGGAAGTCCTACTGTCATGTTGTGTAGTTTATCTCTAAATAACTTCCGAAATCTTGACTAGTATTCTAATTTGTGCGAACTTCTTCTGAGCACTAGTCACCGTAAGAATGTAACTCTGTATTTTGTTTCACCACTCATGGGAGGTATTGCAATCGTCACACATTCAAAGCTATCTATGTCCTATGAGTTTAGTATCCTATTATTGCCCGAAATCCATTTGGCTGGCTGGCTGGATTCAACATAGAACTTGGCACCGAAGTGCAGCAGTTCTAGTCGCCACGTTACAAATAGCACACAAAGGTAGACAAGAAAATGAGTGAAGAGAATCAATAGAGTTTTGACAAGTATAAGAGTGAAACAGAATGAGTAATGGTAGAAAGGAATATGAAAGATTACACAAGAGACTGAATACATCTGCATAAGCCATTGACAACGATTTTGAGCCATGTCACCTATTGTCTCCAGCCATTGATTCTTAGAGTCCCGAGAGCTGGCCCCAACCCGGAAGTCTGCGTCTCCCTACCTGACTCAGTTTAACTGTCAAGGATTTCATGGATTGATGAGGCCATGTTTTTGTTTGGCCACCACTTACTCTTTTCCAACCTGCACCTATATCAGCTAGTAATGCCCGTCGGGGGAGACGATGGTTAGGCATGCGCAGCATGTGACCTAACCATATCAATTTATGTAACTTCATAGCCTCTTCGATTGATTTTCGCTCTTTGCCCAACACTTTACGCCTAACGTCAACATTACTTACCTTATTATACCACCTAACGCGAGAAAGAGATGGTAAACATCTATGGTCAAAAACAGACAATCTTTTCATGTCTTCCGCTCTGATTGGCCACGTCTCACAGCCATAGAGAAGGACGGAACGAACTGCTGAGCAGTATACACGTCCCTTGTTTGATAGCCGGATGTCACGCCTACGCCAGAGACGGTGTAAGTTAGCGAAAGCAGCCCGAGCTTTTTGGATCCGTGCTGAGATTTCCTCACCAATCAATCCGTTGGTGCTGATACAACTTCCCAAATAGGTGAAAGAAATCCATTTACTTTTATGAGACAATTTTTTAATGAAGTCTGTCAGTTCGTATTGTCTGGTGGGGATAGTCGAAGCATTTGGTGTATTCTCTGAGCTGGGTGACAGTTTAATTATGAGTCTTTCATGGTCTGTCTTCTTCTTCTAGACAAAATTGCTTCAGTTCAAATTACAATTTTAAGTGAACCTAATTTGAATTCTCCATAAATGATGATTATATTATAACTGTGCCTCTCCTGATGACTTTAGTTGTGATTAATTGTTCATTTGCATCAATCAGTATTGATCCGTTTCTATTGACTTGAGAAATTCAACTTTTTTTGGTTGTTGTTGTTGTTGTCGTGTGACTTATTTTCTTTATATGTGTTGATAAGTAAATTTGATCTATGTTAGTTAACACGTATTTTTTTGTGATCACACAGTTTCGTCTGAGTTAGCAAAGCTTCTAGAAATTAATTCTCTAGTATTTTTGGTATTCAAAGTCAAATTGTTATCTATAATTTGTGTACACATGCATTGATTAGTGATGTGAAAGAACATATGTGTGTCTTTTGACTGCCTATTTTTTTTACTGTTCTTGGACTCGGAGTTGAAGCAGACGCACTCGCTCTCTAACATATATAAAGTGTTTTTCTCACAGTTATTATATTATTATTATTGTTGTTCCCTTGGGTTCCTAGTGGAACATAGGGCTTCAACTACACGTCTCCACTTGCTTCTGTCTTCTGCTGTACTTTTCACTTGCATCCATGTTAGTCCATACTGTTTCAACTCCTCTTCACACGATCTCCTCCATGTCACCCTTACACTGACGTCCCACTCGCCGCTTCCCTTTCGGGTTCCACTCGAGCGATGGCCTGACGCGCGATGTCACCCAACGGCCTCCTCAGCGAGTGTCCAATCCATCTCCACTTTCTCCTGCATGTTTGTTGAGCGATTGATTCTTGTTTTGTTTGTTTGTTCCCATAGTTTCTCGTTGGTGATTCTTTCCGGCCATCTGATCTTCAGTGTATAGAGCGAAGACAGTTGTTGATAAAGGTCTGCAACCTGTTGGAAATATTCTTTGTGACACACTGGCCAAGTTTCTGATCCGTATAGAAGAACTGACTGACTTGACGTTTGTATTTAAAATCCGAATTTTGTTGTTGATGCAGGCTGAGTGACGAAGATTTCCAGATTGGTTTCAGGTTGATGAATGTGTTTTTGTTGCCTTCCCGATTCTCACATGTGATACAAGTTATTTTGTAGGATAGTGTTGATGTTGTCCTCTTTTGCCGGTTCGGTCTTTTGGTTTGCGTAGTAGTAATAGTAGTGTAGACAAAGAGACTGTATGGATTTGCCCGTTGTGGCTTTTATCAAATGGAAGCTTTGTGTGTGTGTGAAACAAATCAATAAGTTGTATTTCACATTTATCTTGTATGTGATAAATCTTTCAAAAAGGTGAAGAAATTCAGAATATCTCGACTTATTTGAGAACAATGAATAAAGGTACGAGTAGGTTTGGCATAAATCTCACCCTTCTCAAAGGCGAAATGTGATGACTTACTGACTGACTGGTTTCAATGTAGAACTTTGCACAGATGTGCACCAGTTCCAGTTACCACTCTCCCTCCAAAGCAAAGAAAAGAGAGCAAAGAGTGATGATAAACAAAAGTGTGATTGGGGGATGAACAATAGAATTTTATTGGATACGACAAATCACAGAGAATGAATGAATGCATCTGCACCAGCCGATCGGGAACGATTTTGAGCTATATCACCACCAGTTATCTCCAGCCTTTATTGGTTTTTAGCCGTCCCAAGGACCTCACCCAATCAGTCAGTCAGGAAGTCTGCACCTCCCAACGTGACTGGCTAGCTTAAACTAACTGTTGTGGATTCGATTGACTGATGAAGCCGTGTTTTGGTTCGACTAGCACCACTAGCTTTCTCTTTTCCAACCTGATCAGTCCTATGTCAGCTAACATTGCCTGTTGTCTAGGAAGGCGATCGATGTCTAGGTGGGCAAGCGTAGCACATGTCCTAACCATCTCAATCGGTGTAACTTCACAGCCTCGTCGATTGATTTCCCCTCTTTACCTAGCACTTGACTGAAGCCTGACCTCGATATTGCTCACCGTATCACACCACTTAACTCGGGAAGTAGAACACAGACACCAATGATCAAAGACAGCTAGCAGACCTTTTTGTGTCTTTAACTTTCAATGGCCATGTCTCACTGGCAGCCATAAAGGAGGACAGACTGAACTGCTGAGCAGCACACACATCCTTAGATTGATAGCCACCTGGATATCACGTCTACTAAGTTAGAGATGGCGTAAGTGGGCGTATGCCAAACAAGCCTTGTGTATCCGTGCTGAGATTTCGTCAGTGATCAATCTACCAGCGTTGACTGATGCAACTCCCCAAATAAGTGAAGTGGTCAACACGCTCTGATGATTGGTCTAAACTGACTTCTAATTTAAGGATAAAGATTACATTATTTATAATTATTGCCTTGGTTACCGAATGGGATATAGAGCTTTAGCTGCAAATCCCCACTTCACTCTGTCCTCTGAAGTCCTCCGTGACTACCAGTAAACTTTCACTTCCCTCTCAAAAGATCTCCACCATGTCAAATCAATAGCAAACTCGTCACTCCCCACTCGGATAGTACAACGGAGGGGGGTGGCTTCTTGGATCATGATATCACTCAACGGTTCTCTCAGTCTACGCCCTATCCATCTCTATTTACTGCGGTATATTTGTTAGGCGATTGGTTCTTGATTGTTTAATTGTCAGAGTTCCTTGTTGTTTATTCTTTTTGATGATGTGATCTTCGATATCGAGACAACGAAGGCAGCTGTTGATGAAAGTCTGCAACAGGCTGTTGGAAATGCATTTTGGAACTCAGTGGGTTTCTGCGATAGTCTGTTAAGTTTGCAGTAATCAGCGTAAAAAATTACTTTTTTTTACGACTGTGTCCTCGATCGATAGCCGCCAGCCTGGTATGGTGGTCGGCGTCGCATATCGTACTAACCCGACGAGCTCCACTGGCTGAAACTAATGTTTCCGTAGGTCGTTTGGAGAGTGGTTAGACTAAAAGCACTTCCCATCATAGGGAAACTTGTTTACACTATACTGCGGGTCTGTTGACAAAGTCGTTATGCTGGTGAATGGCATTGTAACAACAGTAAAGTGTTTCCCTCAGGTGACCGGCGTTCCAGCTATGCTACCTGTCCACTCTGGGGTTGGGGGGGGGCGGGAAGATGAGAGAGATCAACCCCAGAAATAAGACATCCCGGTTTGCTACATATGACAGTTAGACCTCACTATGGACAGAAATCCAAAATCTAGACGATGTGTTGTATGACCGGTCTTAGGCGGTTGTCCCCCTGGACTCTGCAATCACTCAACACCAGTACTACCTCCATTTCAGCTATTCAGCCAGATGATTGTGTCAGTAATTATAAAAATCCAAAATAGGTTCTGATAAACTTTAAGACGATGTTGGAATCACAAATTTCGGAAACCTGTTCATCAATATTTAATTTAAGTGATAATTAACACTTCTTTCCAACTGCTTAATTTTTATTTATCTAACCTTTTTTTCCCCTCCCTACAGTTACACTACCCTCAACTTCAAATCCATGCATATTTTGCTCCCGGGACTCCACCTGCATTAACATTTGCCAGACGACGTCGATACTGTCGATGTTGTCGTATCATTTAAAAAAAACGAAGACAAGACAAAACAAAACGAATAACAAGAAAATATGTGATCTGTTTTCATCAATTCATTCATTTTTTTTTCTCTTTTGGTTACATAATATTTATTTATTTATTGATTTGTTTATTGATTTATTGATTTTGTTTCTCTTTGTTGTGTTATTGTTTGTTTCTGTTGCTTTTCGAGTTTTCTTCTGTTGTTTGTTTGTTTCTTTCTGTGTGTGTCTACATCATCAATTGTGAACTCCTTTCTCCTCAGGTGAGCGAGGTGTACTAGGCCCTCAACCTCCCCCACCTCCGTGATCTTACTTACTGTTCTCTTAAAAGAAGAAATAATACCTGTGTGTATGTATATGACAGTAATATATGTGTACAGTGTTTCAATGAAATCAGACAAGGAAGCAAGAACTACACAACAGTGAACAACAGTACGAAGAAGAAGAAGATATATCTATCTATCGTCGTCCAGTCTTTCTGTTTTGTTACTTGGACTTCTTTTATTTATTTCACACACACATCCGCCCCCCCTGGCTCCAATCCCTCCACGACCGTTTTTTTACTGCTTCTGTTGTCATTTTTATATGTATACAACATTGTGATCAACCTTCATCATCATCACCACTATATGCTACTATGTACCATGTTTATAGATAATATATCACTAATTAATTACCGTCTCCTCGCCCCACCCTGCCCCGCCCGTTCATATACATATATCCCGGTCATTGACCTATGCGTTTATCAAACATATATATATATATATATATATATATATATATATATAATCCTGAGTCTAAAGGGCAAAAGGCAGGACTTCACCGAGTTTGTTAGTTGTTTTTTTTTAACCATCCTTGTGCTTTTCTATTTTATTTTATTTTTTCTTGTCTGTATTTTGAGTGAGTATATATGAACGCAAGCCGCCGCCTCCTCAGCTGAAAGAACAAATAACTGTGAGATGTTTATTATCATTATTATTGTGTGTATGTGTGTACTGCTAGGCTAGGCAGTAGAATTTGTTCTTCTTCATAGCGTCTTCGTGTTGTTGTTATCTTCTAAAAGACTCCTCTATACAACGTATAAATATTTATACAATAAATGATGAATAGGCATACAATCAATCGTAAACAACAACAACCCACCCCCCCCCCGCTTTTATACCGCTATTCTGCAATACTGTGCGTGTGTGTGTGTTTGGTGGGGGGGGGGGGCAAGTTTCTTCATCGAAAAAAGAACAATTGACACTCACATATGTGTATTTGTATAATTCTCAGACATCAACTCTTTGTTTTGTATTTTTTTCCGAATTTTCTGGCAAAATATGGCTTCGCTTTTTACCTCTCTTCTTCTCGTCCTCCTCTGTCTCATTGAGGTAAATAAAAACTGATAGAGAAGAGCATCGCCGTCGATATCACTTCTACACACACAAACAAACATGGATACAATGACTTCTTTGTCTCCTTTATTATGATTATTATTATTATTGTTTATTATGTTTGTTGATGTCGTTGTTGTTGGTTGTCTCGTCTAGGTTTCTCTGAGACTTGTATTTTGTTTTGGTTGTCCCTCTCCATGTATGTGTTTGTGTGTGGTGTTCAATGTATGTATGTATCGATTTCTCGCTTTTTTGTTTTGTTTCAGTCTGTTCGTTTGTCCGCTTGTTTGTTTGTTTGCGTGTTTGTGTGTGTGTGCTGGTGCGCAGATGTTTTCATGGTTAATTGTGCATGAATATATCTAGTTCTTTGTTCGTGCGTGTGTGTGTGTGTGAACGCTTGACTGTTGTTCTGTCCTGTCCTGATCTCTTTTTTCAATAATCATGGATAAACAATGTAAAAAAATCGATGTAAAGCAGCGTAGATATATGTGGGGAAGGTGTTGTCAAAGTCGAGAATAGGATTGGCGGTTGTCGTCGTAGTGGTAGTAGTAGTAGCACGCACAACTCACTGATTGACTGACTGACTGGCACTACATGCGCACATAAACACACACACACTCATAGAGAGATAGACAGCTATTGTATTGCTTTCTATTGGTTTCCTACACATAATAATATACATACATATAAATACATTATTATTATTATCTATAAAGCGCGCTGATGTGGGACGTATTCATTATAATAATCTTGTACATTATTATTATTATTAATTATTATTGATAATTGTTATTATTCTTCTTCCGGAAAAATAGAAATAATAAAAGTTGATGATGTGTGTTGTTAATCACTTTTGAAAAATTATTTTCTATTTGTTTATTTGTTTTCTTAAAGTTAATTTTCATTTCAGGTTTGAGTACAAGTCGACATCAGTTCGAGAAAGAAACACATTGAAAACCAGCACTGGAGTACTGGAAAGCTGTTTAAACCCTTGTTTGTAAATTTTATTCAGTAGGCGCGCCAACTGGAGTTGTTCGGACGCATGGCTTTCCGGTTATCAGGCGACGAGCTCGTAAACTATTAAGCCACTGGAACCTGATCTAATTGCGTCATGAATTCTATCTTCTGCCAAACCACGATATACATATATATCTACGCGGTTAGGACGCTCGCTGACCATGCACATGGTCCGGGGTTCGATCTCCCCGCCGCCGACTCACTCCTTCACCTTGCTAAGCCAGTAATAGAACTGGCAAAGAAGCCTCTAGCTTGAAGACCTATATATTCCACTGGAAACATGAAGGAATAAAAAAAGAGCAACCGCCAGCCACTGTCGTAGGCGAGTAACTGTGATCTCTTACCTGACTGACTTTTTGGACTCTCCAAATAACTTCCTGTATACAGCTAGTCACTACAGTAAGCGTGAGATTAATATTCAAGTATTGGTTTTCAGCGATCTGATCGGCTACAGAATTGATCACGGGTTGATATCAGTTAGAGGGAACCATTGGAGAAGTTGGAATTCATCACCCGATTGGATTGACTCCTAGTGGCTGCTGAATGGTCTACGAGCTCATCTTGTAACCGAGATGTTGTGGGGTTCAAACCCCACTGGGGAGTACTGATGAAGAGCCCCGAAATAGTTGCCCATTACTCCAGTGTTGGTTTTCAATGTTTCTCTAACTGACGTCAACTTGTGATCAGTTCTGTAACTAATGAGATCACTGCAGACAAACATCTGGTAGTTTTCATTTCCCCTTTGATTGATTATGTCACATAACATCTCAGTAGTCGGCCTCTGTGTTGACACGCCATCAAACATAAATTACCAGTAATAATAATAGCTTTTCAAGTATTGGTTTTTTTAGGGATTTCGTTTGATTGCATGGGGGATTTCATCATGAGCTGACATTGGTTAGAGAACCACTGAAAAACCACCTGGGAGTACTGGACAGTCGCTTCGTCCTAGTTTGGGGCTCTTCATCAGTACGCACCCACCCTATTCAGGCAGTTAACCTGGGATTCTAGCGGGAAGCCGTGACCAGTAGGGTACAGCAGGTTGAAGGTGAGGCAGTAACTCATCGAAGAAGACATAGCGAAATGGTCGCGCTATGTCGTGAATTGGCAGAAGTTAGAATTGAAGAATCATTGGACCGGGTCCCAGTGGCTCATTGGTCTACAGGCTCTCTAGCCTTGTAACCAGAATGTCCTGAGTTCGAGCCCTGGCGGTGGGTTCGTACTGATGAAGAGTCCCAAACTAGGGCGAAACAATTGTCCAGTACTTCCAGGTGGTATTCTAATGTTTCTCTAACTTATGTCAGTTCATGATGAAATCCTCCATGCAATAATAGCTTTATTCTAAGTAGTATTTTTGTTATCAATATGGAATTTTCAGCATGTAATACATTATTGCATTTAGTTTTCTCATAAGAGGGGTAATAATTAAAATTTTATTTTTTATTCTGATTTACAGCTTGATTCCACACCGTATTTTCAGTACAAGTGTGGAATTTTCAGCATGGATATCGGTAGCCCAAATTCAGGCCGACCATAGATATCGGGTGTGCGCTGACAGGGGATCGAACCCCGGACCATGTGCATGGTCGGCGAGAGTCCTAACCACTGTGCCACCGACGCACATGAATAATATTGTTCAATAAGAAATGAATATAAAGTTAAATCAAGTGTAAATATTAACGACAATGTAACAATGAAAGAAATGGGGCCGTGTTTTATTTAGAGTTCCGTAGGAAGTTAGCGATTTCCTGTCTTACACACTTTTCTCATCACATAAAATGTGTCCCGGCTAAATAAGGTATTGTAGAGCTTTGGCGCTTAGTCGTCCGAGCATACAATCTTTTGTAGTTCTACGTGATGAGATGCAGCAAGGAGAGTTGTGTATGGAGAGGATTTTCAGAGTTTGACAGGATAATATTTGCTAATTTCTTGCGTGAGTCCATGTGTGTATCTACAATAGTATTAACGAGTTGGTTCAGGGAGACCCCACCTGCCCTGCTGATGGCTTTCAGTGCCCTACGCAGGATAATGAGGTTTTCCTTAAGTAGCCCAGGAAAGATTAAAGGGCAGCACTATAAAGTGTAGGCAGAATACAAGAATTAACAAACTATAACAGTAGAAACTTGGTGATATCAGATTGTCTTAACTCGCTACATAGAAAGTTGGGGAAAATATCTTTCTGGGAAATAAAATGCTGTGGGAAGACAGGGAAAGACCAGAAAAAATACACTCTTCAAGGTATTCAGCTTCAGTGCCAATTATGATAGTTGGACCGTGGGAACTAACCGGTTCAAGTGAGTCCCTCTTGCATCTGAAAGTGAAATTAACCACCTGATATTTGGAGGGATTAAGTTCAAAACCATTTAAAGAGGATCACTGACTGATTTCTGATAAAAAGTTATTCCTTTTTCGAATAGTCTCTGACTGAGAAGTAATGGCCAGCGTAGAAACAGTCAGATCATCGGCATACTTAACAGAATTGGCTTCGTCAGGATGCGGCAAGTCAAAATAACCTCTTGTATTAAAAGTCGATGTGAACGGAGAATATTGTTTTCAATAAATTCTCTTCAAGTGATTGGTCATCAACATCAACTGGTTATTATTGTAACGAAAAACATTATTTTTTAAATTGTGTTCCTTTGTGTTGCCAGTAGGGCTGTAGGGCTTCAAGATCTGGCCCCTGAATTTTCAGTAACGATGTTCTCTTACGGGGTCGCTACTAGTCTCACGCCCAACTTTCACTCTTTATTACCGGTCTTACTACCGGCTAGGTAGGATTTGGAGGAGTGAAGCGGTCGGGAATCGAAACTCGCAAGACATGCGTGGTTGGCGACTGTTCTACTACTGAACCATCGCTGCACGTAACAATAAGTATTGTATTTTGTAACTGTGAGGAGGACTTGAGGAGAATTTATTGAGAAAAAATATTCTTCTTTCAGACTGACTTTTAATTCATGATGTGGAAATCTTTCACACCAATAAAACAACTTCACGCTAATCCCTAGGCATCGTCGAAGCTTCCCCGCTAGGAGCCAAAATGTCATCCGAGGTTGAGCATTTCGGTTCAGCATATTCAGCGAATCAAATCGAAATGCAAACTAATAACTGAGATTCAAGTATTGGTTTGTAGGGATTTGGTCGATTGGCTACAGGATTTCATCATGAGTTCGGACCCAGTGCCTCCTGGTTACAAGGCGAGCTCGTAGACCATTAAGCCACTGGGACCCGATCCAATGGCCACTTGATGAATTCCAACTTCTGCCAATTCACGACATAGCGCGACCGCTAGGCAATGTCTTCGGCAAGTATTTGTTTTCACACCCGATCTGCTGCACCCTAGTGGTCACGACTTCTCACTAGAAGAGTCCCAAACTAAGACGAAACAGCTGTCCAGTACTCCCAGCTAGTTTTCCAATGGTTCTCTAACCAATGTCAGCTCATGATGAAATCCTGTAACTAATAGCTGAGATATCCGCTGCACAAGAGGTGTCTTTCGCGGCCTAATGGATAGTACTTTGGTGTTCGAAATGATGGGTGCAGGGTTCAAGTTCCAGTGGGGAATGCAGATACACAACGCAATGGCACACCCTGTATTCCCACTGCGAGTTTCCATGAAGCGAGACAGTTTGATCTCAGTTGTTTTCTAGGTAAATATGGGGAAGTAATTTCACCATGAAGTGATATCGTAATCAGGGAGATATTGGTTGCTCACAATTCAGTTATCTATCTTGCCATACTCCATAGTTTTTTGTTTATGGTGTTCACTGAATTCCATCATTGAAATGAATTCAAACCCCTACAAAATTCCACAACCTAAATATCAGCCTCCAGCTTATTGATAGCTGCAACTTGGATGTTCCAAAGCTGTGCTGAAGAGTCGTGGTAAGTAGGTTCCATCATGTCAAGGTGTTATGTGATCGGAACTACGACTTAGAGTCGGTCGGTTTTCGACATAGAACTTTGCACATATGTGAGGCAGTTCAAGTCGCCACAATCTATGTAGCACGCAAAGCAAGAGAAGGAAGTAGAAGAAATGCATAATGGAAACAGTAAACAGAGGTGTGAGACAAAGGAATAGTAATAACGGAGAACAAAACAGTTTAATTGGAAATCATAAGTCACAAGGAGTGGATGCATCTGCGCCATCACTGAGAACGATTTTGAGCCATGTCACCAATTGTTTCCAACCATTGGTTTTTACCGTCCCGAGGACCCCAACAAGGAAGGACCCCACAAGCAGGAAGTCTACACCTTCCTACGTGGCTTAGACTAACTGTTGTGGATTTCATTGACTGGTGCTATGCTTTCGTTTGACCGCCGCTAACTCTTTTCCAGCCTGATCCTATATCAGCTAACACTGCCCGTCGAGGAAGGCGATGGTTAGGCCAGGCAAGCGTAACACATGTCCTAACCATCTCAGTCGATTTAATTTCACAGCCTCGTCGATTGATTTCCCCTCCTTACCTAGCACTCGACCAATGCCTAACCTCAATATTGCTCACCTTATTATACCACTTTACACGGGAGATAGAACGCAGACACCTATGATCAAAGACAGCTAATCTTTTCATGTCTTCCACTCCCAATGGACAGATCTGACAGCCATGAAGGAGGACGGAGTGGACTGCTGAGCAATACACCCACCCTTTGGTCGATAGTTGGATATCACGTCTACGCCAGAGACGGCGTAAACTGGCATATGCGATGCTAGAACTCTGTATCCGTGCTGAGATTTCGTCGGAGATCAACGCGCTGGCACTGGCTGATGTTACTTCTCAAATAAATGAAGTGGTCAACA